CTGGCACCCCTGCCTCAAATTATTCAGTGAGATTCCGTGGGTTTTAGAAACGATTTGAGCTGAATATAATGAAATATTAAGGATCGGTATAACTGAGTGTACTAGTAAACTGAAGAACAAAGGATCGAATCCCGACCCCTACTTCCCAGTATGGCTGGTCCCCGTGGGAAGTTTGACCATATCTCCTGCGTCAGGTTAGGTCTACTAGTTGACAACATACTTGTCAAAACAGGCTACTAAAAAAAAAAAATCTACTAACCTTTTAATTTGCTCTATATTTCAAGGTCTATAATTTTTCGTATGAGAATAAAATTTCTGGGAGAAGCCGTTTTCAGAAATAAAGTAATCCCTCAATATTCGCGGGTTTGATATCCACGAATTTTGTTATCAGCGAATATTAAAATGCGGAAGATTTTCACATTTGCAATTTGGGTATTCGATGATTGGTGATAAAAAAAAAACCAATACATACTGAACATGCATATCGCTATTGATAAAGCAAAAGGTTGTATGTAAAAATTGAGTGTTTACAGGAGATCGTAAAAGCTAATTATCTCTTTATGATTTCTTAGTATAATTTCATATTTTATTTGCCTCTGCTATTTTTCATAGTGGTAGACTACCTATATCAGTTGCAAACCGCAAAATGTCACTTATTTTTCCCACTTGATTGTTTTTGCTACTCCATTCTTCACCTTCTATTAATAAGCCATAAATTATATAAAGCACGTTACACTTAAAGATCAAATTTTTATACGCTCCAACTCTAATGATTGTTTAATTCCCATATTCATATGTCAGACCTTTTGAAATGAAATTAAAATAATTTTATTATTCTGGGACTAGTGTCCCTTTAGAACAAGTTACAAATACAGAAAATATATTTATATTTTGGTGTGTCCATAAAATAGAAGTTAATATTTACAGGTTGATTAGGAATACAATAAAGTTATAAATGATAAAAAGATATAAATACGTGTAAATATAAAATATGCAGAGAAATAAATTAAGTGAACGATATATCGATGAATTACAAAATAATCAAAATAATCTGGGTATACTTTGAGGTTTTTACAGCTTAGGTTTTTAAGTGCATTTCGTGATCAATCGGATTGGGAATGGAGTAAGTGTTCGAAGAGGAGAGATTTGAAAGAGGATGTTGATTTTGCGTGTCGAATATCTGAAGGTATAGAGTGCCAGAGGGAGACAACTTATATTAAAAAGGATTTATCAAATGCAGCAGTTCGGTGAGGAGGAGGATTGAGGTTGGACGCACGGTATATGGTGGAACGGGATTGAAAGGAGCGTTTGAATTGTAGGATCTGTAGAATATAGGCAGGTCGCCGTGTTCTAATGACTTGGTATAGGAAGGTAGCAAGGAAATATTGACGGCGGTAGGACGGATAAAGCCACTTCACCTTGTTGTAGAACTGGATAATATGCGTATCCCTTGGGATTCCGAAGATGGAGCGTATTGAGAAATTCATGAAACGTTTAAGTTTGGCTTCGAGTTCTCCCGAGAGTCCACCATACACCATGCAGCCATAGTCGAAGTGGGAGAAAACAAGAGAGGAGACCAGGTTGACGGGTTTTGAACGGAAGAAGATAACGCAGATGGTTAAACTGTTTCAGGGTGGATATAATACGGCGGGAAATTTGGGAGATGTGTGGTTTCCAGGAGAGGCTTTGATCGAGGGTAACGCCTAGGTTTTTAACGGTGGTATGGAAGGAGATAGGTGAGTTGTTCAGAAGAAGATTAGGAGGTGTTGAAATGGATTTGAGGAGTGTGGGGGATCCGATCAGGATGGCTTTTGTCTTCTCCCTATTTATCTATTCCCCATCTCCCTCCCCACATGGTCGAAGGGGAAAAACCTCTCTCTCCATATTATCATAAGAACAGTGCATCCCAAGATTTGAATTTAAAAATTTTCGATCATATACAATTACACTTGCAGCGGACTGTACCGTGTTTTCGCCTTGTCTCCTAGTTTGAAATTTATGATTCCTAAAATTTATTATCCTTTCGACATGTGCCCACCTAAAAACTGCAAAATTCCTTCAAAATGTGCCCCCTCAAAAATGTTGATGGCACAACTTTCGCCATGAAACTCCGTTCTGGGCATTCCTGTTTAGCACAAATAGAATAAAAATTGAAAAATTATACATGCGACTTTTGGCACTAACAGTAGCGATATATATTTGATAGATATAAAACTTAATTGAACTCGAAAAAAGTTTACTTTTTGTTTGTTCGCAGTTAACGAAACCAATATTTTTCTTCAGGCATAACAAAATAATTTAAGTTGGATTATAAAAATATGAGTGAAGTTGACACAACTTTTTTGTTTAAGTAGGAAATCGAGATCACGACTAGCTGGTTAAACCTCAATAGAAATAAACACAATCACAAATGATACGTTTTTTTTTAACAAACTCGAGTGAAAATTAATTTAAATTTACTGAAAATTACACGAAATAAACTAATTAACGGCAGTAAGTGTCATGCCAGTAACGTTTTGAATCGACCAAACAATAAAATATTAATTAAGTTTATGAATAACACCTTATTAAATTTTATAACCTCATAAAAATATTGTAGTAACCCAAGGTCAATAAAACTACTAGGTTCGCTCACTCAGAAATGTGTGGTGGGGGAACTTGAAACGTGGCGTAAGGAATAGACTGTCAGACCTACCTATTACTCTTTCAAGCCTATCACTGAAGGCTTATTTCAACATTATTGTGCTTTTTTTTTTTGTTTTCTTGTTTAATTTATTGAGATGAATACTTCTCTGTGTTTTTGACGTTTGATTGAAAATAATTTCAAGTAGACAAATAAATAAATACGGCTATCAATCTAAAATAAAATGCTGAAATGTAAAGAACGAAATTGATATTAAGATTATTTATAAATTCTTTTTTTCAAAATCTCTGTAAATAATATATAAATATATTACATAAATAGAAAAACCTAAGATTTATATTTATTTAGAACATTTTAGCCCAATGTTTGTGTAATTTTGTTTGTAGATCTCGTGGGTATTTCCTTTAATATTATAACGATATAATAATTATAAGGATGAAGATCTTTGTCAGGATTTGCAGTCAAAATTTCTTTAAATAAATAAATTTAATTTAAAACATAAACAAATTTTACTGCAAATCCTGATAATTTATTTTCACCTTATAATCTGAAATCTTAATAGTCAACTACTTGTCCGTCTCTAAAATAATATTATAACGAGTATTTATTTTTTATTTTTAATAACATGTTACAGAGAATTCATTTGTTCTTATTAGTATTTCTTGCATTTCTCATAATAACATAATTATTAATAGAATCCTTTAGAATGCCAGGGTACGAAAGGCGCAGTTGCATCTTGCAACAATAATCTCATTGACACAAAGAAGATGGAAAAGAAAATTTCATTTCGTACTTTTCCAAAGGACGCTCGAAGAAAAGATTGGATTTTAAAATTCAAATGTAAAAATATTGTAAAAAAATTTACTATCTTTTTCGTAGGAAACAAAATGTAGAAATTAATGAAGAAAGCCTTTCTTCGGGTATTTAATAGAATCAAATTTTTAAATACGAAAATTTTAAGAAAACATAAAATCACAGCCAAAAAACTTGAGATAAATCACTACATAGGATTACTTATGACATAAAAACGTAATATTTACAAAAATTCACGGAAAGAAAGTGCTTCTTTAATATCAGATTAAATACTTTTTCTTTTTTTTGTTTTTTCAATATTTCTATTATTTTATATTATTCTCTGTATTTATTTGAAATATTTAAAAAGTAGTATTGTGGTACTTTGCAAAAAATCATCATCAACTTGTTAATTTTATTTGCTTCAGAATAAACCAAATATCAAATCAACCTTTCTCTTACCTTTCAAATTTAATAAAATTAATAAGTTATTTGGCAATACAGTATTGATTTAATGTATAAAAGTAAATAATAATCTTAAAATGTCCAGAAACAAAGGCCAGAGGGGTAAAATCAGTCTTTTGGCTACGTCAGAGCTCAATTCCTCCCCACCATTTTCCCTCTCAGTGAGCGAACCTGGTAGTTTTACTGACCTTGGTAGTAACCTAATCCCCATGATCAATGTCTTCCACATTTCACAGCCATCATATTATTAAGAGTTATTTATATTAATTTTAATTATCGAATGGAATTCAATGAAATTGATGCTATGCAATTTCTATGCTATTCTCCAAATTTCCTCTAAGTTTGAGTCAAATCGAATGAGCCGTTTTCAAACTATAGGCGTGTCAGATATGTGTACTTGAATATCTACTTAAATACTTTTGTTGATTGTAGAGATATTGTCATCAACAAATATTCAAGCTTGGTGTAGTAGTAGGGTGCCTTTCACTAATCATTATGCCTCTTTAGGATAAATAGGATTTCTCGATTCCTTCATCTTTTTTTTTTTTTCATTTAAAATATCTTTTTATCATTGTTAGAACACATTTCACCTTCATTAACTATCATAGGATATGCTGAAACGGAGATAATTATTATAAAAACTCTTAGGAGTAGCAGTTCCCATCATATTTATTAAACCGAACTTTGAAAGTTTTGCAGAACTATTGAACGTAAATAGCTCCTATCAGGGCTCAGGTTGAAATTAATAGAATACATTACAATCTAGTTTATAATAATTATTATAAGCTCATTTGTATGCTTTCTGGAGCCTCATCGACACTGCTGCAATGTTAATTTTTAAAGTAGTTGATCGGAGTATCTTAAGGATCCTGTCCATCCTCCTCCTGGAACCAAAATCTAGCACAGCAACCAAGGAGCAGGCTGACATCGAACTAGAGGATGGTTCTGCTGCTATTCTACAGATTCTATGAATAGTAATAATGAACCTATCATAATGCCATTAAAATAGCTTCACTCGTTTTTTGCCTGTTTCTGTTATTATATATCCTTTTTTATCTATTGTACAAATTTCTCTTCTATCTTTCTTGATGCTTTTTAGGCATGACTGAGACACGGGAGAGAAAAATCTTCAAGTGCTCTATTGCTGACAGCATAGAACTGATGAGCTATGAAGAACTTGTTGTGAAACCAAACAACAAAAGAACTCCTGAAATAATTCTGCAAACAAATAGGCCGTTGGTGCTGCTACATCCATGGCTCCTTGCTCAGCCTAAGCATACTAGGAAATTCGTTGAACTGTACTTGGAGAAGGGATTTGATGTTCTAAAGATCCAAATAACTATCTGGAAAGTGCTATGGCCAGTGATCGGATCTCAGGTAAATGCACTTCGAACTCTTGTTATTCAAATGATAAACATACCTGTATTTTTAAGTTTCTTTCTGAATTCTGGTTTTTGTAGGATATTTATTTCGAAGTTATTTCTAGCCAGAATGTACCTACACAAACCATGTCATTTTTAACTTAAGTTTTAGTTTCAGGAAGTACTTAGTCAATACAGCTTTATGTCTTAACGAAATTGTACAGGTAGTTGCCGCAAACGTAGTAGAATTCTTGCACGATCACGAAAAGTTCCAGCCGCTCTTCGTACATGGTTTTTCTGCTGGAAACTATCTCTGGTCAGAGGCGTTAGTTAAAATCGCTGGAAACATGGAGAGGTACAAGAGCGTGATGGACCGCATCCGGGGGCAGGTTCTGGACTCTCCACCCAGCACCCCGCCAGCCTTCCAGAGAGGATTCGCCATCGCTCTCTTCCCCAACAATCCTATTCTTTCTTTTCTCTTCGAAAACACTATAACGTAAGTTTTACTGCTATTTTCAAAAATGTATTTCTCTTATTATTGGTGAATTGAATAAAGTTGAAATACATACTCTTGAGTAGATGCCCAGAAAGTCTTGAGTAAGTAAGAGGTGTGAATAAAAATCCAATAATTGACTGGACTACCTGCTTAGGTGACTGGAGAAAGTATTCATAAAATTATTTATTTGAATGAGTCCTTACTTATGTAAGAACTCATTCAAATAAATGAATGCTCTGGGCTATCAGGATTGGCGACATTTTATAGCTCTTAATAATAATATACTTTATCTTTTCTGGGACAAGTCCCTTTAGAGTAACACAATTGTATGCTTTAGAGCCTCGATAGTTTTATAAAAGGGATAATTAAATAAACAAGTAGAAATATTAAATAATTATAAGTTAAAATCTAACATTAATGAATTAAAAATAAAAAATACTTAAGAACAAATTAATAATTTATACACATATTTACAGAAAAGGCTATTTACAATTGTTGTATACTGGATAGATAGGATTGAATAGGTGGAATTTACAGGTGGTGCAATAGTTCCACAAAACTTTTTAAGTTCAATTTAACAAATATGATGGGAAGTGCTACTCCTAAGAGTTTTTATAATAATTATCTACATTTTAGCAGGAACCCATGATAGTTAATGAAGACGAAGTGTATTCTAACAATAATAAAAAGATATTGTAAATGAAAAAAAAACATATTGAAGAAATCCTATTTGAGGTGGTGTACGGCATTAGAGTAACAGATATAGAAGGGGGTGGAATTCCATAGGAACGAGGATCAAATAATGAAATATCTGTCGAAAAATGCGGTTCAGTGTGCCGTTGTATGTAAATCTGAAGATGGGAACAGATATTTTGGGGGCGGGGTGGCCGAATAGGCTAAAGCGTGTGCACAGCACCGCTAGTTGCCTGGCAACCGGATAACAGAGATTTGAGATGATATAAAAAGTACGAGTTCGCGTCCCGGTGCCGGAGGGGATTTTAAATTCCCCGCCATCACCCCCCGGCCCGGGAAAATCCCGTATAGCCTAAAAGGCGAGGTAGGGAAGAACAAAAAAAAAAAAAAAAAAAAAAAAAAAAAAAAAAAAAAAAAAAAAAAAAAAAAAAAAAAAAAGATGGGTACAGATGAGAGTGAACAGACGATTTGGAGGAACGATGCCTTGAAATAAAGAAATCTTTATAAAGGTAGAAAGAATAAAGCCATTTCAACTCTTTATAAAAACGAGAGACAGGTGCGTCCCTCGGAATTCCGAAGATAATTCTTCCAAAGCAGCTCATAAAATGTTTGAGTTTTACCTCAAGATCCCAAGAAAAGCCTCCATTTATCGTACAACAGTAGTCAATATTAAGGAAGCAACCTGAAGAGATGTTTCTAATGGAAATAGTTGATGAAGTAATTTAGACGTTTTAAGGTTCTTTTCCAGTTGTTGTTATTGGATACGTTGTTTTTCAGGAAAGGATTCGATCAAAGGTTGGGGGCAGGGTGGCTGAGCAGGCTTACACTTTGTGTAAAACACATGTTGCCTTGGCAACCAGATGATTACCCGAAGGTTATGAGTTCAAATCCCAGTCCCTGTGGTACTATTAACTTGGCATAATTCCCCGTCCCGGGAAAAATCCCGTATTGCCCAAAAGGTGAGAAAAAAAAAGTTATTCCAAGGTTTTTAATGACAGGATAAATTTGATGGGATTATTATATAAGTTCAGGATTGGAATATTAGGAACAGTTTTAAAAAGGTGATTGCCTTCGTCTTTTCCGAATTGAACTTCAGTTTGTTAGCTTCTGTCCAGTAACAGATTCTATTTAAGTCTTGAAGTGTTTTAGTGGCTGGTAATGTATCGATAGGCAGGACAGAAACATATATTTGGAAACTTTCTGCATAGAAATGATATTGGGAGTGATGGATCCAGGCTGTGATTGCATTGGAACTGTAAGTCGTCCTGTCAGAAAGCGAAAGACCGAGCTCGAAACACCTTTCGAAAAACAAACACTTTGAGTGGCTACATCTAGTGCGATCGTCGGAACGATTTCGTCTTTGTTTCAGATTCATTCTTCTTTAAATGTTTAGCATTATCCAATATATGTACTAAATAATAGTTTTATTTCATTAAACTTGTTTTTTAATGTTTTGTAATCAATCAATATTAATTGGGATGGAAACACCAGTGGCTGATAGTGTACCAAAACCTGACATCCTCCTGGAAAATGGGAATAATAAGATTTCAGGACTTCCTAGATCTCTATTTCATATATTTTTAGTTTCTATATTTTCTCCTTTTATATTTGTCCTTTGTTTTAGTCTTGCCGAAAATCGTAACTGAAATAATCAGTGGTAAATTAGGAAGGTTATTCCCAGTCAACATAGTGTACTAGGAACCACCATCATACGAACACCATATTTGCCTTTTGTTACATTTTTCTTTTGGTTTGCCTTTTTAAATGGTTTTCAGCTACTAAAACCTTATTTAGAGGCTTTTCACCAGTGGCTGACAGACCTGTACTCTCATAAATTCAAAAAGATAAACTGAATATAATGGGTCTTAAAAATGGGATCATTCACTACCCTCTCCTTAAAAAAAATTGCTAGTTATTTGGATTAAATATAAAGTTAAAATAGGTTTTCCTAATGCCAAAAAAAGGTTCTTGACACTGACTAGCAGTTATCAATAAATTTAAGTCAAGAAACAAAATGAATTTTGTTAATATCTACTTTATATTGAGTGATATAAAATTTCAACACTTATTTCACATAATTAAATCTAGTCTTGCCCAAATGCGAGACCAAGATTTACTGATTTTACAAATTTAAGTCAAGGAACAAAATGAAGTTACTTTTATAATAAATTAAAGGTAATTTTGTTAATATCTACTTTAAATTGAGGAATATAAAATTGCAACACTTATTTCACATAATTCAATCTAGTGTTGCCCAAATGCGAGACCAATATGAGTCTTGGTCTTGGCCTTACAGTTACTTATTAGCTTAATACTATAGAGATATTACTGTAATTTTTCAGAATGGGGAAACCTAACTAAACTCTGAATGAAAAATTGCAAAAGAGTTAAATGCAAAAGTATATTGATTCTACCAATTCTTTACATATAGTAACTAAAATTGTCTTATTTTTTTTTTTATTAGTCTTAGTCTTGGTCTTGCAAAGTGCAAAAGTAAACTAATTAAATTTTTTTTTTTCATATTTCAAAGATAAGCCCTATATTTTATTTATTATTAAGGTTATGATTATTACTGTAACTTTAATATCTGTTTTTGTCTATTCATTAATTGCATTTTCTGAAATTTATATTAATTATTATTTTAATGAAGTATCAATTTAAATATAAATCAATTTGTAGGCTTTAAAATTTACAATGTTTTTATTTTCGTGTTTAGAAAGTTTTGGATAGGTGATATATAAAAGTCAAACAAACAATATAAAAGCCCTGTACAGAGGGGTATCGGATATCTGTGAAGGGAGAGGATCAGCAAAGATTGTCGGGCTCTCTCAGCTGTTTCCTCATAGATTCCAATTCTTATTTCTTCTTCTGTAAATTATCAAATTCTTTCATATTTAACAATGTTTTAGTTTTATAATACATTCCAATGCGAAATGGTTAATTATTTCAAATTACAGGTATAGTAGAGGAAGAAATTTTCAAAATTAGTCATAAAAGTACTGTTAGAGAACATCAAGAGAATGAGACCTACATCATATTAAAAACTGCTTAATTTTACACTAATATAATGAATTTAATCAAAATTGTTTGAGTCGTTTTCTAGAAAATCATAAAAATGTGTTTAATTGAAGATATAAAGTGCTACTTCCGGTTAACCGATTTTGATAAAAGAATTTCTGTGCCATCCCAGGCCTTTACAAACCTTAAATATATTGGTTTAATATATACTCACACACACCAATTTGCGAGACTTAGTATTTGGACTCAGAGGACCTCATTTCTGTAGAAAACTTGGATTCGAGAATTTTCACGATTGTAGTAGTTTCCCTTATTATATATTATATATAGGTAAGTAAAAGTAAAAAGTTTTATTATTAGCTGTTTTTTTTATTATAAAAATCGAATTTATAGTTATTCTTAATACTGTGTTCTTGCTAAGGATATGGAATGTATATTTTTAGGATTAGTGATAAACTATTGCAATCTATTTTTTAAATTCTGTAATTTTTGTTCAATAAATAACATCATTACGGCGTTGTATACAATTTATTTTATATATAATTTTTACATTAAATAAACAATATTTTAAACAAGAAAATGTAGTTCCAAAAATGCCGTTCACCTAGCAGAATGGCTGGGAAACAAAATGTGTCCAAAAAAAAAAAATATATATATATATTTAAATAACTAGCCTTTGAAAAGGACTTTAAATTAATTATTTTCGTAACATGGTCTGCTATCGAGTGGTATTTTGTTACATATGGTGTTTTGACTTGTGTTTTTACTTTCACTTACCTATATATGTAATATATTGTAAGGGAAAGTATTGTGATCGTGAAAATTTTTGAATCTGAGTTTCCAACACGTTTTGAGGTCCACTGAGTCCAAATAGCCAAGTCCCGCAGAATGGTCTGTGTGTATATGAACAGCTTAGCTCAAAAACGAAAATTGTGTATTTAAGGTTTGTATATAGTTATGATGTGGCAGCAACTTTTTCGTTAAAATCAGCTTACCGGAAGTGCCACTTTATATCAACGTTTAAACACATTTTTACAATTTTCTCAAAAATCAAACAATTTTGATTAAACTCGGTTTATCATTGTATAATTAAGTGGTCTTTAATACTATTCAGGTCTCATCCCTATTGATGTAACTTTACAGAGCTTAAATGTCCCATATTCATATAAATCTTCCACTAAAGTAACTTTAATATGGATTATTTATGAATTTCTGAAAACTAACGTTATTTAATCTAAATAACATGTTTCCAAGGAAATTAAATGAAATTTTCTTACTAAATGTAAACT